ATACCACCAAAATAAAGCTTTATCTGTCTCAAAAAAAATGCGAAACAATTCATATGGGTACAGTGTTGCATGACCGCGCAATTGTCATTCAAAGTGTGATAGTGCTGAAAGCTGAAAATTGGCCTGGACAGGAAGGGGGGGAAAGTGTCCGGACTGGAAGGGGTTAAAAAACAAAAAAGTTATAATCCTACACCCACAGTAGATCCAGAGGAAGGCAAAAAAAACCCAGCAAAGCACGATCCAATTTGCTCCCGCAGGGGAAAAGATTCCTTCCTGATCCCCCGAGAGGCAATCGGATATTCCCGGATCAACTAAGTTGATTTTGTTCTGAATCGAAATTCGGACACATTTTTTAGTTACTCAGAAATTCGGGTCTATCCGAAAGTCATTAGTAACAAATCCAAACTAACGAAACAAAATGATGAAATTCGAATCAAAATTGAATTTGAGTACAGAACATAAAAGAATAAAGTAGATTAGAACAGAAAATAAATGAATGGAATAGAATAAAATAGAAAGCAAAAGAATAGAATAGAAAACCAATATGATAGAATACAATATAAATAGACTAGAAAATAAAAGAATAGAATAGATTAGAATAGAAAAAAAAGAATAGAATAAAAAAAATAGAAAATAAAATAGAAAGAATATAACTGTCAGAATAGAATAACATAGAAAGCAAAAGAATAGGATATAAAACAATATAAATAGACTAGAAAATAAAAGAATAGAATAGATTAGAAAATAAAAGAATAGGCTAGAATAAAAACAATAGAAAATAATAATATAGAAAGAATATAGTTGTCTGAATAGAATAGAATAAAATAGAAAGCAAACGAATAGAACAGAAAACCAATAGGATAGAATACAATAAAAATAGACTAGAAAATAAAAGAATAGAATAGATTAGAATAGAAAATAAAAGAATAGAATAGAATAAAAACAATAGAAACTAATAAAATAGAAAGAATATAGTTGTCTGAATAGAATAGAATAAAATAGAAAGCAAATAGAATAGAAAACCAATAGGACAGAATATAATATAAATAGGCTGGAAAATAAAATAAAAGAACAGAATAGATTAGAATAGAAAATAAAAGAATAGAATAGAATATAAACAATAGAAAATAATAAAATAAAAAGAATATAACTGCCTGAATAGAATAGAATAAACTATAAAGCAAAAGTATAGAATAGAAAACCAATAGGATAGAATAAAATATAAAATAATAGACTAGAAAATAAACAAATAGAATAGAAAAAAAAATACAGAATAAAAAAAATAGAAAATAATAAAATAGAAAAAATATAACTGTCTTCCAAAATTTTGAATAAAATAAATTTGATATTGCACAGAAAAGATCAGAATACAAAAGAACAGAACAGAATAGAAAACAACAACAGAATAGGATTCAATAGAATAGAAAAAATATAACCACCTTCCGAAATTCGAATAGAATACATTTGAATTCGAATAGATCAGAATAAAATAGAAAAAAATAGAGTTGAATAGAAAATAAGAATAGAATAGAAAAAAAAAACAATAGACTAAAATAGAAAGAATATAACTGTCTTCCGAAATTCGAATAGAATACATTGAAATTCACACAGAATTGATTAGAATAAAATAGAACAGAATAGAATAGGAAAAACAATAGAACAGAATTCAATAGAATAGAAAGAATATAACAGTCTTCTGAAAAATTCAAATTTCGAATAGAATAAATTTGAATAGATTAGAAAAAAATAGAGCAGAAAAGAATTAATAGAAAAACAAGAGAATAGAATAGAAAAAATATAGCATAGAAAAAACTAATGAATATAATGGAACCGTATACCAAAATTTGAATTTTGAATAGAATAAATTTGAATATGAACGCCAATACGAATGCAAATTTGAAATTTCCAAATTCGGTCGAATTAAGTTAGAATCAAAAACGAATAAATAAAATGCATTAAACAAAACAAAATGATTTCAATAACAAATTGAAATGAAACAAATTTTTTCATTCCACACATGCCTAGGTCAAGGAGGAACTGTATTGTTGCTGTATTGTCTCCCGTTATATTGTAAAGCGCCGAGCAAACTGTTGGCGCCATAAATCCTGTATAATAATAAAAATATATAAATCCTGTATAATAATAATAATAATATATAAATCCTGTATAATAATAATAATAATAATAATATAAATCCTGTATAATAATAATAATAATAATATAAATCCTGTATAATAATAATATATAAATCCTGTATAATAATAATATATAAATCCTGTATAATAATAATATATAAATCCTGTATGATAATAATAATAATAATATAAATCTTATATAATAATAATAATGTTATCAACAAACCGCAAGCGCACCACAAATGCCCCGCCAGCGTGTTTGTGAAGCGTCACCATAGACTTGAATGGGAGGCATTGAAAGGCTTTTAAACTCCTTCTGACTTGACATGAGGGTTCAATTTTGAAGCGACGCGACACTAGCGCATCGTGTTTGGTTTAATGTGAACAGCACTAAGTGCTGCCCATAGTATCATTTGCATAGGGGTTTGAGGAGTGTTTAAACACCCCTCAAAACGCCTGCTTTCAATGCCAGTGTGAACTAGGCCTAAGAACCTTCAGGTATGGTGTATACACAAAAAAGAACAAACGAAACCAGCGCTCCAATCTTCATGCAGACTAAAGGGAAATCTGAATGCCAAACGTTGAGGTGCAGCCCTTCAGAGATCGGGAAATCTAGGTACTGGTGAACAAAAACAAACAAGGGCGCACTCTCATCGTGCATTACCGTGGTACACCACATATTTATTAAAAAACTATAGATATATACTCACAAACCAAAAGGGAATAAAAACAGAGCAGGTTGTCCGTAAAGACAGTCCAATGGGAATAATACACTCTTGACTATAGTAATACACTCTTACTATGGTAACATTGTACTACTTTGGACATAGTGAAAATATGAAAAAAAAATTAAAAAAAAAAAAAAAAAATTTTAATAAAATTTTTTTTTAAAAAAAATATATATATATATATTTTTTCACACTGTCACCAGTCAGTTATATTATGACGCTGTACTGCACTGGTGACAGTATGTAAAAAAAAAATAGTGAAAATAATTTTTATTATTTTTTCATTTTCCGAAAAATTATGACAAAAAAAATACAACTTAAAAAAACTCGCCATGCCTCTTATGAAGTACGTCGGACTGTCTACTCTGCAAAAAGGGTCATTTGGGGGATATCTGTACTGTTCTGACATTTGGGGGATATCTGTACCGTCCTGACATTTGGGGGATATCTGTACCGTCCTGACATTTGGGGGATATCTGTACCGTCCTGACATTTGGGGGATATCTGTACTGTTCTGACATTTGGGGGATATCGGTACCGTCCTGACATTTGGGGGATATCTGTACTGTTCTGACATTTTGGGGATATCTGTACCGTCCTGACATTTGGGGGGATATCTGTACCGTCCTGACATTTGGGGGGATATCGGTACCGTCCTGACATTTGGGGGATATCTGTACTGTTCTGACATTTTGGGGATATCTGTACCGTCCTGACATTTGGGGGATATCTGTACTGTCCTGACATTTGGGGGGATATCTGTACCGTCCTGACATTTGGGGGATATCTGTACCGTTCTGACATTTGGGGGATATCTGTACCGTCCTGACATTTGGGGGATATCTGTACCGTTCTGACATTTGGGGGATATCTGTACCGTTCTGACATTTGGGGGATATCTGTACCGTCCTGACATTTGGGGGATATCTGTACTGTTCTGACATTTGGGGGATATCTGTACCGTCCTGACATTTGGGGGATATCTGTACCGTTCTGACATTTGGGGATATCTGTACCGTTCTGACATTTGGGGGATATCTGTACCGTTCTGACATTTGGGGGATATCTGTACCATTCTGACATTTGGGGGATATCTGTACTGTCCTGACATTTGGGGGATATCTGTACCGTTCTGACATTTGGGGGATATCTGTACCGTTCTGACATTTGGGGGATATCTGTACCGTTCTGACATTTGGGGGATATCTGTACTGTCCTGACATTTGGGGGATATCTGTACTGTCCTGACATTTGGGGGATATCTGTACCGTCCTGACATTTGGGGGATATCTGTACTGTTCTGACATTTGGGGGATATCTGTACTGTTCTGACATTCTTGGACCTCAAGAAATTAGATTGGCTGTCAGTACTTCAGGATTGATCAATATTCAGATCTATACCATAGTTTGTGAACTCTATAACCTTCCTACAAACTAAATAATACATCCTAATTTGGGTTATTTTCACCAAAGACATGTAGCAGAATACATCTCGGCCTAAATTTATGAAAAACAATTATTTATTTGCAAACTTTTATAACAGAAACAAAGAAAAACGTGTTTTTTTTTTTTTCAAAATTTTCGGTCTTTTTTGTTAATTTAGCAAAAAATAAAAAACCCCAGTGGTGATTAAATACCACCAAAAGAAAGCTCTAGTTGTGTGAAGAAAATGATAAAATTTTAGTTTGGGTTGTATGACCGCGCAATTGTCATTCAAAGTGTGAAAGCTCTGAAACCTGAAAAATGGACTGGGCAGGAAGGTGTAAAATTGCCCGGTATTGAATTGGTTAAAATAAAACCCAGCTAAACTATTGTTTTAGTTTTCGGGTTTGTTCACACCAGGGGCAGTGGGTTTTGTGCTGGGCAGCCCTAGTCAGTGTGGTCCCACTGCAAGACAAGTCAAACAAGGCTTTGCCTCCATCACACCAGTTCACACCATCCTGTTGCCATGGAGCATGTATGGCATGTAATACTTTTTTTATTGGAAGAACCAAGGACAAAATCTGGTTCCCTTTCTTCACAGCATGATTTCCAGTAAGCACTGCAATCCATACCCCCTATGAGGTCATCACGATTGGCCAGCTCTGTTAGAACATCTGGAAGGTCTACTTTTTGCCCACCATACAGCTGTACATACCTTCAGCTTTGCGGATGTGGACTACATATCCAATAATTTCCTGGGTGTTTTCCAGGGGCTCATTCCAGGATACCTGGATAGAGGTGGATGATATGGTGGAGGCAGTGATGTCTTGAGGTGCCCCAGGTAGTCCTTCTGCCCATAATACGGAAAGCCGAGCGCTGGCTTGACTGGAGCCTGCGCTGTTCTGAGCAATACACTGGTAAATGGCCTCGTCCTCCTGGCTGATCCCGGAGATAGTTAGAGAGCTGCAGGTGAAAGAAATGAACAGAAGAGTCATAAACTGAATGTTCACACACACTGCCAATCGTTATCTGTCACCTGCACATCACTTGGTTAACTAAACGAGTTTACTGAAGAATCATCTGCATTACCAATCTACTAACTGACATACTATACAGGTGTAGCACCCTCCTACATAGGTGCTAGGATTAGGTAAATTTAGCTTGGCTCACTGTAACCAATGTGACTGTGTTTTGGGTTTTATTGCTCTCTCTGCTTTCTGGGAGAACTGTGTGTTGTTCTGGGAACATAGGTGTGGAGCAAGGCAAATGGGAAGCATGAATATTTATACAGCCCTGGCCAATCCCTGGGGGGGTGGCCCAGATGGGTTCTGGAGTCCGTATAAATACTCTGAGACACAGAGCTTCCAGGTCTTTTTCCTTGGAAGGGGCTCACAGCTTAAGGAGGGCTGCTTGCCCCTTAGGACATCCTGCCATGTACCTGTTGAGTGTCGAGGCCTTTAGTGGGTGATCTGAGGGCTTGTTTTACCTAAAGATGCAGAAAGCTGACCGAGGGACTGTTATTTGAGGATCTTACATAGTTACATAGTTAGTCTGGCTGAAAAAGACAAAAAGTCCATCCAGTTCAACCCATAAAAAAAAAAAAAGGTATAATCCTTCACCAACAGTTGATCCAGAGGAAGGCAAAAAACCCAGCAAAGCACAATCTAATTTGCTCCTGCTGGGGAAAAAATCCTTCCTGATCCCCCGAGAGGCGATCGGATATTCCTCCTGGATCAACTTTACCTATAAATCTTATATCCAGTTATATTCTGTGTATCCAAGAAACAGTCCAGGACTTTTTTAAAGCAATCCATTGAGCTGACCAGAACCAACTCTTCCACATTTTCCCAGCTCTCGCCGTGAAGAAACCTTTCTGTGTTTGGAGATTAAATTTTGTTTCCTCCAGATGTAAAGAGCACCCCCTTGTCCTCTGTGATGACCTCAGGGGGAATAACTACACCGAGTTCACACTATATGAACCACTGATGTAGTTATACATGGAGATCATATCCCCCCCTTATGTATTATACATGGAGATCATATCCCCCCTTATGTATTTATACATGGAGATCATATCCCCCCCCCTTATGTATTATACATGGAGATCATATCCCCCCTTATGTATTATACATGGAGATTATATCCCCCTTTATGTATTATACATGGAGATCATATCCCCCCCTTATGTATTATACATGGAGATCATATCCCCCCCTTATGTATTATACATGGAGATCATATCCCCCCCTTATGTATTATTACATGGAGATCATATCCCCCCCCCTTATGTATTATACATGGAGATCATATCCCCCTTATGTATTATACATGGAGATCATATCCCCCCTTATGTATTATACATGGAGATCATATCCCCCCTTATGTATTATACATGGAGATCATATCCCCCTTATGTATTATACATGGAGATCACATCCCCCCTTATGTATTATACATGGAGATCATATCCCCCCTTATGTATTATACATGGAGATCATATCCCCCCTTATGTATTATACATGGAGATCATATCCCCCCCTTATGTATTATACATGGTGATCATATCTCCCCTTATGTATTATACATGGTGATCATATCCCTCTTATGTATTATACATGGAGATCATATCCCCCCCTTATGTATTATACATGGTGATCATATCCCTCTTATGTATTATACATGGAGATCATATCCCCCCTTATGTATTATACATGGTGATCATATCCCTCTTATGTATTATACATGGAGATCATATCCCCCCTTATGTATTATACATGGAGATCATATCGCCCTTATGTATTATACATGGAGATCATATCCCCCCCTTATGTATTATACATGGTGATCATATCCCCCCTTATGTATTATACATGGCGATCATATCCCCCCTTATTATTATTATACATGGAGATCATATCCCCCCTTATGTATTATATACATGGCGATCATATCCCCCCTTATGTATTATACACGGAGATCATATCCCCCCCCTTATGTATTATACATGGAGATCATATCCCCCCTTATGTATTATACACGGAGATCATATCCCCCCCCCTTATGTATTATACACGGAGATCATATCCCCCCTTATGTATTTATACATGGAGATCATATCCCCCCTTATGTATTATACATGGGAGATCATATCCCCCCTTATGTATTTATACATGGAGATCATATCCCCCCCTTATGTATTATACATGGTGATCATAATCCTCTTATGTATTATACATGGAGATCATATCCCCCCTTATGTATTATACATGGAGATCATATCCCCCCTTATGTATTATACATGGAGATCATATCCCCCTTATGTATTATACATGGTGAATCATACCCCCCCTTATGTATTATACATGGAGATCATATCCCCCCTTATGTATTATACATGGAGATCATATCCCCCCTTATGTATTATACATGGAGATCATATCCCCCTTATGTATTATACATGGAGATCATATCCCCCCTTATGTATTATACATGGAGATCATATCCCCCCCTTATGTATTATACATGGAGATCAAATCCCCCCTTATGTATTATACATGGAGATCATATCCCCCTTATGTATTATACATGGAGATCATATCCCCCCTTATGTATTATACATGGAGATCATATCCCCCTTATGTATTATACATGGAGATCATATCCCCCCTTATGTATTATACATGGAGATCATATCCCCCTTATGTATTATACATGGAGATCATATCCCTCTTATGTATTATACATGGAGATCATATCCCCCCCTTATGTATTATACATGGAGATCATATCGCCCTTATGTATTATACATGGAGATCATATCCCCCCCTTATGTATTATACATGGAGATCATATCCCCCCTTATGTATTATACATGGAGATCATATCCCCCTTATGTATTATACATGGAGATCATATCCCCCCTTATGTATTATACATGGAGATCATATCCCCCTTATGTATTATACATGGAGATCATATCCCTCTTATGTATTATACATGGAGATCATATCCCCCCCTTATGTATTATACATGGAGATCATATCGCCCCTTATGTATTATACATGGTGATCATATCCCCCTTATGTATTATACATGGAGATCATATCCCCCCTTATGTATTATACATGGAGATCATATCGCCCTTATGTATTATACATGGAGATCATATCCCCCCCTTATGTATTATACATGGTGATCATATCCCCCTTATGTATTATACATGGCGATCATATCCCCCCTTATGTATTATACATGGTGATCATATCCCCCTTATGTATTATACATGGAGATCATATCCCCCCCCTTATGTATTATACACGGAGATCATATCCCCCCTTATGTATTATACATGGAGATCATATCCCCCCTTATGTATTATACATGGAGATCATATCCCCCTTATGTATTATACATGGAGATCATATCCCCCCCTTATGTATTATACATGGTGATCATAATCCTCTTATGTATTATACATGGAGATCATACCCCCTCTTATGTATTATACATGGAGATCATATCCCCCCTTATGTATTATACATGGAGATCATATCCCCCCTTATGTATTATACATGGAGATCATATCCCCCCTTATGTATTATACATGGAGATCATACCCCCCTTATGTATTATACATGGAGATCATATCCCCCCTTATGTATTATACATGGAGATCATATCCCCCCTTATGTATTATACATGGAGATCATATCCCCCCCCTTATGTATTATACATGGAGATCATATCCCCCCTTATGTATTATACATGGAGATCATATCCCCCTTATGTATTATACATGGAGATCATATCCCCCCTTATGTATTATACATGGTGATCATATCCCCCCTTATGTATTATACATGGAGATCATATCCCCCTTATGTATTATACATGGTGATCATATCCCCCCTTATGTATTATACATGGAGATCATATCCCCCCTTATGTATTATACATAGAGGTCCAGCTTCCAGTCTCTAAAAGTGGTTGTTCTTAAAGAATGGAAAAATATCGATGTTGCAATATGTTACCAACTTGTTCATTCCATGCCTAGAAGACTTGGACGTCATTCAAAATATTTTGTTGTGGGTAAGGGGTATCAGTGCCTCGTGCGCTACTATGGTCCCCAACCAATTCCTAAATATGAAATAATGTGAGGAGAATATAAAAAAATAAAACAAATTAAAATATACAAAAACGTGATAAATGACAAAAGCAGGTATGCTGCTACCACTAATAATGTGTCCTCTGACACACCTAACAGGAATACATACCAACCATGTGGTACGCTACCCCTTAAAAACTTTTGATACAAACAAAAAAAATAATTTATATATATCCTAAGTAATTAAATATGTCCGTTAGTGAATACTAAAAAAAGTCCATAATGGTGGATGTAGTCCATTGTCACAAATTCGGTGCTGTGCCAACAAATAATGTGCTGTCCCTTCTTTGTGTGAAAAACTTGCTCACCTTGTGATTAGGCCTACAAATCAAAGGGGCATTCTTTCCACTGGCCACCAATGTAAGGAGCATTCTTCCTACTGGCCACCAATAAAAGGGGCATTATTCCCACTGCCACCAATAAAAGGGGCATTTTTCCCTCTGGCCACCAATAAAAGGGGCATTCTTCCCACTGGCCATCAATAAAAGGGGCATTGTTCCCACTGACCATCAATTTAAGGGCCATTCTTCCCACTGGCCACCAATAAAAGGGGCATTGTTCCCACTGACCACCAATAAAAGGGGCATTGTTCCCACTGACCACCAATGAATGGGGCATTCTTTCCACTGACCACCAATGTAAGCAGCATTCTTCCTACTGACCAACAACATAAGGGGCATTCTTCCCACTGACAACCAATGTAAGGAGCATTCTTTCCACTGACCACCAATGTAAGGAGCATTCTTCCCACTGACCACCATGTAAGGGGCATTCTTTCCTACTGACCAACAACATAAGG